TAAAACCGCCCTCCAGGGATGCAAGCGCCTTCCGCCAGGTGGTGTCAGGCTGATCGCCAGGCATATTTGCACGATCATTGGGTGGATTTTCATGAGGACAATTGCGCCAATCGCGAAAATCCGCCCGCCGGGGGTGTGAGCGCCGCCACGCCAATTCGCCCGAAGGGGATTTTGTCACCCTCCCCTCTAGGCATGACACCCACCCTTGCAACACCCCTGTGCCGTGGTACCTATTTATCTATTTGCACTGGTGTGCTTTCAAACTGCTAGGTTGGCAGGAGCTGGGACAGAGCAACGGGAGCTCATCGCGGGGATTCGAACTGCCGACCTTCCGATCAGCAAGCCTAATAAGGCTACAAATCACTGTCGGAGGCAGAATGTCTCTGAATACCAGTTGCTGGGAATCACAGGTGGAGAAAGCCCTGCTGTGCACAGATCCTGCTCTGCGGGCTTTTTGAAGACATCTGAAGGCAGCCCTGTTTAGGGAAGCTTTTAATGTTTGATGTATTACTGTATTTTAATATTTTGTTGGAAGCCGCCCAGAGTGGCTTGGGAGGCCCAGCCACATGGGCGGGGTATAAATAAATTATTATTATTATTATTATTATTATTATTATTATTAAGCACCTGGTTGGTCACTGTGAGAACAGGATATGGGACTGAAGTCCAACCCAGCAGGGCTCTTCTTCTTACTTTATTATGCTACTTTATTATGCTCATTTACCATGGGCTCAGATCATCCAATAATCCCAAGTATTTGTTAGCAAAGTCACTTAAACAATGCAGGTGGAGCCCAGAGAGAAAAGAAATCCTAGCAACACTTTGCTGAAGAAAACTGAACAAAAACAGCGTATGATTTGAGAAGAAATAAACAGAGGTTTTGCCTGTCTTAGTTCAGGCCTTGTGCAAGGCAGGGAGACATTTAACCAAACATACAGAGACAGAATACCCTCGGAACTACACAGTCATACAGGGCACATGCTACCTCAGCAAACATTATACCACTCTGCCAGGTTACTATGCAACTTCCTCTACCGTCTTGGCTAGCTGACCTACGGATGGCAGAATTAACCCTTAAGTTACAGTCCAAATGACCCCTGAAGAAGAACCCATATGCTTTAGCCTTCCCTTCTAGTGTGTCTGAAAGCTTCCTGAAAGGAGACTAAAAAATAAATAAATGCCATTTTAAAGTTACAAGGCTGCTTGATAAATTTGGAAAGACACAGACTTCACCCCGTCAACCTTCAGTTACCTTTAAGAGAGTGCATTGTGCTCCTGAAGCAACATGACTAAATTATTGCACACCGTTGCTATGGCAGCTCCTAATTTGTCATTGGATAATAGAGCAACACATGTTTAAATAGCCTGAAACTTGCCCCTGAGGTATCTTATAAACAAGCACATTTTTTCATTCAAGGTTTTTTAAAAAAATAAAAATAAAAAACTTGAAAAATGAGTTTACATTTTAAATAGAAAGAGCATCTCGTTTTTTTCTTAGCTGTGGGAAATTTTTTTAAAGACCATTAAAAGTGGTGAGATAGCCATTTCGGGCGAGAGAATCGAGGGTGACATCGGCAGCATACATTTAGAGCGGTGTAAGACCACTTTTAACAGTCGCGGCTCCCCACAAGGAATCTTGGGAACTGTAGTTTGTTAAGGGTGCTGAGTGTTGTTGGAAGACCTCTCCTCACGGAGCTACCACCCAGAGTTCCTGTGAAGTGGAATTCACTGTCAAACCACTCTGAGAACATAGCTTTGTCAGAGAAACAGAGGTCCCCTAACAACTCTCAGCACCATTAAGAAACTACAATCCCCAGGATTCTTTGGGAGAATATTCCTTGAAGTGGCATGATACCACTCTAAATGTATGATTCTGAAGGGGATGTTGAATTTTTCGGCTTTCAGATTCCAAAAATGGAGGGTGCTAAAATGTCTTAACGTGACTCGTGAATCCAGAAGATATTTTGGTTAAATTAAAGTAATTTAGTTTTGCTTGCTAGGTAGAAAGTTTGTAAAATCATTAAAAATGATTGCCAACTGCTTGCAGTTATAGTGTATATTCATATTTTTTGTTCTTTATTATTGTTATTTCGCATTACCTGCCTTTTTCAGAAGATAAATTTGTTTTTCCGAAAGCTATTTAGGTGCTTCTCCATCAAACGTAGACTTGCCGAGCTAAATGTTGTCCAATCTCAAAAATAATAGTAGATTTGAATTCTGCCTACCCCTAAACATGTTTTTAAGAACCCTCACTGGAGAAATATGCAAAAATTAAGTTTCACCTCCTAAAATGACATACCCTAATGGCACAGAGGGAGCCCGTATATTGACAGACCTGCAATAGTCACAATCACCTGTCAGTTACCATGCTTGGCATTAGGGAGCTATTGTTTTTGTAATTTTTAAATTTCATATTTCTAACAAAACAACAACAGAAGAACCCACATCTCTGTGCCAAAGATTCAATGCCATATGATTCAGGACTTTGACATTAAAAAGGGGGGGGGAGTAGAAAGAAAGAAAGAAAGAAAGAAAGAAAGAAAGTTTTCTTTCAGATTTTGTAAAGGAAAGAAATCAAGGACTTTCTGGCTGAACAATGGAGCAAAGCATCAATGATTCCATTTCACTTCACTTGATGCGAAGGGGTTTTCCCCCACCTAATTTTTATTATTTTGCAATCATTTTAGTGCATAAACCTTGATGAATAATGGAATTTAAGGAAGGGAGCCTTCCCATAGAGGCCGGCTTTATTGACATCTGACTGGTAGTCTAAAGGCTTGCTGGGAAGGTCCAAAGGCTTCATCAGAGTTTCTCAGCAGGTCATTACGAACGTTATCCAATTAGAAAGCAGAGGTGCAGGATGACATTGTTCTCCAAAGAGCAAATATAATTGATTTTCATTTCAACGGGCGAGGGAACCTCTTTACTCAAAAGGACCTTAGCATAATTTCTTGTTTAGGGGGACTTAGAGAGATTTCTGCTGGAGTATTTAATTCCAAGCTTGGGACTGTCCCTGGCAACGTGTATAAATTAAAGGACAGCTGACTTCACTCATTCATTGATACTCAGAATGGGAGAGGGTTTTGTGTTTTTTGTTTTGTCCCCTTTTTTTGCCAGTGCTCAAAAATAGCAGGAAGGTTTTAGAGGAGAAGGGCCTCAGAGACTAGTTGCCTAAGCCCCTCCCCCCCCCAACCTCTGTGAATAGTTCACCTGCTTTCAAGGGCTACACCCCTATGCATTTGAGAGGGAAAATGCAATATAAAACCAACTGTTTCTTTTTTGCTTTTCCATTTAAAAGCCATGCCCTGTGTGTCTCCATCCGCATTGGTACCATTTCTCCTCTTCCCATAGGATTTCACTGTCTCTATTGTTTGGGTGGCTGCTCGCACCATTAGCATCACAGAGTGTGTTCCTCTCCCCCAAAATGCAAGCATTTAGCATTAGCATCTTAATTCCCTAAGAGGGGGCAGAATAAGCATAAGCAGGGTCACAAAGGACAGGTAAAGTATCTACCTTGAAATAAAACAATAGCAATAATCTCTAAAGCAGAATTCAGAAGTCCTTTCGCCTATTTGGTGTGCAGTCTAGAGATTTTTGAAAGCACCTATTTTGGTTTGTGGTCTGTTTGTTCAAATTATCTTTAGCTGCTGCTTAAGGAGCACTGCCCTTTGAAGGTGGCATACAAATTGAAAGCCCATAAATCAGGGATGTCCAACAGGTAGATTGCGATCTACTGGTAGATCCCCGCGTGGTTTTGGTAGATCGCGGTCGATCTCTTGCTCCCTTTCCTTAGTGCTCCATCGCCCTGCCCTCCATTGTTTTTGGATCTGTTCTCATCTTTTTGTGAGTGACTTTACCCCTTTGTCCTTTGCCTTTAACCCGTCCCCCCAAACCCGTTTAACCCCTAAAAAAGCACAACAACTTTGAGCTGAACCCCCCAAAATGGGGGTAGATCACTGCCAGTTTTTAATTGAGAAAGTCGCAGTCTGTAGACCGCTGGTAGTAGGAGTACAATATGGGCATGTCTGTAAGCTAACACCTTACATTAAAAACCTGACAGTACCAAATTATCGAAGGTTATTCACCAAAGCCAGACTAAACGTCTTTCCTTCTGCAGTGTTGGATGGCAGGTTGAGAGGAGTTCCCTACCAGGACAGACTTTGCTCGTGTCTGATCAAAATGCTTGTTTAACCTGGAGGTAGGCTGTCTGAATTGTCCATTGCTTTGTAACGATTTGTTGGGTCTCTGGACTGTAATAAAGATTGATTGATTGATTGATTGATTGATTGATTGATAACTGTGAAAGTAGATTGCAGTCTCTTGAGAGTTGGCCACCCCTGCCATAGATCTATAGGGTTGTATCGAAAGCTAGTCCTATTCAGAGTAGACACATTGAAATTAATAGACATGACTAGCTTAGGGGCTGGCTCAGTCTGCTCTCCAGGTGCTGCTAACAGTTGATGGTCAACTTCAGGCCCCCAACCCCACCTTCTCTCTCTCTCTTCCTAAGTGCCTTTAAATCAAATATGGACCAGGCAGCCCTTCGAATAGAGGACTGGTATATTGGTGTTGTGGGCTAAACCACAGATCCTAGGACTTGCCGATCAGAAGGTCGGTGGTTCAAATCCCCGCGATGGGGTGAGCTCCCGTTGCTCGGTCCCTGCTCCTGCCAACCTAGCAGTTTGAAAGCACACCAGTGCAAGTAGATAAATAGGTACCGCTCCGGCGGGAAGGTAAATGGCATTTTCGTGCGCTGCTCTGGTTTGCCAGAAGCAGCTTAGTCATGCTGGCCACATCACCCGGAAGCTGTACGCCGGCTCCCTCAGCCAATAAAGCGAGATGAGCGCCGCAACCCCAGAGTTGGTCATGACTGGACCTAATGGTCAGGGGTCCCTTTACCTTTACCTTATATGTAAAGTAGGGCACAAGGCCACCCCAGCAACTTTTCTGGGGGAGGGGGAAAACATCCCCCCAAGTATAGAACAATTCAATCAAATGCAGACTGGATAGCTCAATCAGTACAGCATGAGACTCTTAATCTCAGGGCTGTGGGTATGATCCCCACGTTGGGCAAAAATATTACTGCACTGCAGGGCGTTGGACTAGATGACCCTTGTGGTCCCATCTGGCTCCCTGATTCTACAATAAAACATCCTCACTTTATTTATTTTTTTAGCCCAGCAGTGATGAGGCTGTGTGCATTTTCCTGCGGAAAGAGTTCCAAAGGTTTGGGGCCACTACTGAGAAAGACCTGCTCCTAGTATGTGATTTATTTTGTGGGGATGGTTCACATGATAAAGAAAATTGAAACGACACCATTATATATCAGCTGCATCTTATCCCTATCTCTCCCTCTCCCTTTCCCTCTCCCTCTCCCTCTGCCCCCCCTCCCTCTGCCCCCCCCTCTCTCTCTCTCTCTCACACACACACACACACATATATATATATATATATATATAGTTCGATAGTGGAAGATGTGGATTCTCCTTCTTTGGAGGTTTTTAAACAGAGGTTGGATGGCCACTTGTCATGGATGCTTTAGCGGAGATTGCTGGTTGGACTAGATGATCCTTGGGGTGCCTTCTGTTGGATCAATCCATCAACCTCTGATGGATGATTTAGAAGAAGTGTGTGTGTGTGTGTGTGTGTGTGTGTGTGTGTGTGTGCCAGTATCCATACTCAGCAGAGTTACATCTCAATGAAGCTCCTTCCTTGGAAGTGTCTTTGGGGTTGAAGGTACACAGAGTAGGCAATAAACACTCATGGACAGTCAAGTGCAGAGGTTTACTTGACAGGCATAAAAGCGTATTGGTAGCGTATTGGTAGCAAATATATACAGGCATTCACCACTGCCTTGGTCAAGGCATGCTTAGAGTCCAACAAGAGTGCAAGACTCTCTCTCTGCTTCCCTCACCGCAAGACGCAAGCAAGAGACTCACAACAAGTTACAACAAGTCATGCTGAACCATTGTTATCAGTACTGCCTGTCACACTGCGCAGATCCAAAGAACAGTTCCCACAGAAATCGTCCTTGCATAGACAAAACAATCTCAGCCTTCTGCTGATTCTTGAAACTTTTTCCCTGTTCTTTGTTTCTGGAACAAATGATTCTCTCACACACATAAAGAACATCCAACACGCACACACCCAGCAAATATATACCGTATTTTTCCGTGTATAACACACCCCCATGTGTAAGACGCACCCTATTTTGGGGGACACCAAATTAAGAAAATGGGGAGAGGATTGCCAGACTTGTTGAGCTTTCGTTAGGGGAGATTGCCGAAAATCGCTCACCCAACTGCCACTCGCGCACATTGCAAAAGCCACCTATCGTCTGTCCCCTCGACGCCAATTGCCCGCCCAACTGCCACAGCGACAGCCAATCAACACCGGCCTTTGCCGCAGCCACCAATAACACACCCAATAGCCGCTGACAATCTCCAGCTCGCAGCAGCAGCCAATCCCACGTCCCCCCTATGCACTATCCGTGTATAAGACAACCCCCAATTTTTAACATTAATTTTTAATAATAAAAAAACTTGTCTTATACACAGAAAAGTACGGTATATTCTGCCCTAACTTACAGGGTTTGTTATAAGGATTGCTGAGATCAGGTATGGTATTCAGGGGAATTGCTATGAAAGTACTAAATATTGCTGTCAGAGAGCTCCAGCTCAATAATGCAAAACACACAAGTTAGATGTGCACATCCATTTAAGAGTGCCAGGGAGCAGCTCTTAGTGAGGTGGCAGAAAATTGTATCTGGGCTGCACCCACCGAGACTCAGATGGGATGCAACTTCATGTGAAAAATAACTAACTATGGTAAATCCATCCTAAAAGAAAGAAAGCATGTCAGGGAGGTGATTTCCTTGGCATACTTGTTTTCTAAGTGCAGGGAATGTCATTAATTATCTGAATGGAGGAGAATTTCATTGCATAAAACAGATTCCCACCCCCACCCCAACATGCAGCTGACCCCATTTTGTGCAGCAGGGAGAAAAATTGTGATGTGAAGTTTCTTGAAGTTTGATCTAGAGCCTGAGGGGCCGAAAGAAGATGAAAAGAAATAGAAAATGAAGGTGAAGACTCTTTCCTTTTTGAGTTCCATACGTATATATACGTTTATTATACCCAACCCTTTCCCCCACATTCGTTCCAAGGGACCTTCCCAAACCTTTATCCCAGTAGGTATCCGTCTTGGATCTGAACTGATTTTATGTTCTTATACTCACAACTCTCTTTTAAAATTATCTTTGTATATGCAGTTGTTTTTATATAATGCAACTGTTACACACATATGTGTTATTATATTACCATAACTGCTTTTTGAATGTTTTTGCTGTTGTGTGCATGTTTTGCTGTGAGTGTGTTTGCTGCCATGGGCTCCTCTAAATTCAATCAATCGATAATAAATAGACTGTAAATTGCTTTGGGCTGCTTCAGGGGAAGCGATTCACAAATGACATAAACAAATAACAATTTCTCCTTCCTTCCTCTCCGTCTCTTCCTCCCAATCCTTCCCAAATTATCCCAGCAGATACAGTGGTACCTCAGTTTTCGAATGTCTCGGAAGTCAAACATTTCAGTTTTCGAACGCCAAAAACCCGGAAGTAACTGCTTCGGTTTTTGAACGCTTTTCAGAAGTCAAACACTCCACGCAGCTTCCCTATTGAGTTTTCCATAAGTAAATGCTTCTGGAAGTAAATGCTTCGGTTTTCGAACATTTCGGAAGTCGAACGGTCTTCCGGAACGGATTACATTCGAAAACCGAGGTACCACTGTAATCCTAGTCCTTGAACTACTTCACCTTTCCGTTTCAGAGATGGTCCAATCACAAGGCAGAACAAGAGAATTGTCACAGGTGATGGGCAATGGGTGGCACAGTGTGTTGCCCTACTCAACTGCCTCGTAATTGGCTCCTCTGCTTGTCTGTCAGCCCACCTGCTGCAGCCGGCGCCACCGACCCCCCACCCACCCGAACTAAAGCAAGTTTCCCTGCTGCCCCTTCACCTCCTTCTGTGCAAGGACTAAGGGGGCAGGGCTTTTGTCAGAGCAAGACGTTCTAGGTGGGGGGGGGCAGAAAGTGTCCCACCACCACCGTGGTTTGTCATGGGGGCGAGAGATGCCTTTTTACCCTGGTGGAGGGATTGGGCTACTGTAAAGTCACTTTATTTTGTTTTGTTTTTTACTTAATATGCCCTTTTAAAATGTGTTTGGGAGGGGAAATTATTGGGTTGTTTCTGTTTTTATTTTGATTATGTATTTTGTGGTTTTGTATTGTGGTTTTGGGACACGGGTGGCACTGTGGGTTAAACCACAGAGCCTAGGACTTGCCGATCAGAAGGTCAGCGGTTCGAATCCCCGCAACGGGGTGAGCTCCCGGTGCTCGGTCCCTGCTCCTGCCAACCTAGCAGTTCGAAAGCACAACAAAGTGCAAGTAGATAAATAGGTACCGCTCCGGCAAGGAAGGTAAACGGTGTTTCCGTGCGCTGCTCTGGTTCACCAGAAGTGGCTTAGTCATGCTGGCCACATGACCCGGAAGCTGTCTGCAGACAAACGCCGGCTCCCTCAGCCAATAAAGCGAAATGAGCGCCGCAACCCCAGAGTCGGTCACAACTGGACCTAATGGTCAGGGGCTCCTTTACCTTTATTGTGGTTTTATCTTGTGAACCGCCCTGAGACCTGCCGGTCTAGGGTAGTATACAAATTTAATAAATAATAATAATTAATTAATTTAAAGAGGACTATTAACTGCTGCCACAGCAGCAATATCCACTTGCCGAAAGTCAAAGGATTGTTGTTGTTTTCCAGCCAGAACTTGCCAGAACTCAGTTCTGGCCAGGGGCGCCAGGTATATGGCGCAGAGGGAACTTCAGATTCCCTAATATTTTTTGGTTAGGGGCAGTACACACACCCCCAATTTTGAGGGGGCCACCCTCCCTCTGCCACTGCCAGGTGCCCTCCAAACACCCCAACCTCTGCCCGGCAGCCCAGAGCCAGGCGGCAGCTGGGACAAGCACAGAGGGCAATCTCTCCGCTTGCTTGTCCCGGCTGCAAGCTGGGCAGCATCATGTGACACGTCACATGACTGTGCCCCCTCAATGTGGGGGCATCAAGTCGGCGCCCCTGGTTCTGTCACCTCTCAGGTGGGTCTCAGGCGGATGCTATTGCCATTCTGAGAGAACGAGGGAGGTGGTTTGTGGTGATTTCTAGAAAAATAGCAGTGCGAAGGAGCGTGCGGTTGTCGATTGCTGAGCGCGCACAGGTCAATGATTGTGTGCGTTGGCGCACCGACTGTACAGTGGTACCTCGGGTTAAGTACTTAATTCGTTCCGGAGGTCCGTACTCAACCTGAAACTGTTCTTAACCTGAAGCACCACTTTAGCTAATGGGGCCTCCTGCTGCCGTCGCGCCGCCGGAGCACGGTTTCTGTTCTCATCCTGAAGCAAAGTTCTTAACCTGAAGCACTATTTCTGGGTTAGCGGAGTCTGTAACCTGAAGCGTATGTAACCTGAAGCGTATGTAACCCGAGATACCACTGTACACTCGTTGAACATTGAATGGAATCAACATGTGAAGGCATAGCTCAACTGTTTGGGTGCTTTGGTACACAGAAAGTACTTTTTGAACGTATGAATCCAGAGGTGCGCACTCCTTCGCACAAACACTTGAACATGGGAAGAGAGGCGGCTTCCACAGCTGATCGTTACAGCGTGTGAACAAGCCTCTGAAGCCCAATGTTTTGAGGGCCGTCTGGTTCAAGTCTGGTTTAAAGATTTAAAGCTAGAAGTGGAAGCCTTGATGTTTCCTCAGGAGAAGTTGTCACCCGGACGAGAAGCTGACAAGCGCACAAGTCGCACTCTTCCCCCTTTCTGGCAAGTTGTCTTTCTATTTCAATCATAGCCGTTATTTCTAAATCTGTATCCGTACATAGAAAAGCGCTCTGTTTGTGTGGTGCATCCCTGCCTATAGTACTACCATCACCTGTCTTCCTGAGCCCTTGGGTTAGGGATGGCGATAAATCCCAAAGCGAAAACACTTTATTGCTATAGCTCGCTAATGCATCCTTTGAAATAAATTTACCGGGGGTTTTTTGGGGAGGGGGGAGAGAAACGGATCACTGAGCACCCTCATTAAAGCTACACCTCTGTAGTCGTTCCTCACCAGAATACATGAAAGGCCTTCCCCCCCCCTTCCTCCGCCTTCAAACAGCAGAAGAGTCGAGACTTGCCGAGCTTTTAAAGTTAACTGCTTCCAGGTGCAAAGAAAAGAGAGATATTTAGGGCTGCTGGGATGGCAGTGTGCATGTGGGTCTCCTTTTCCTTCCCCCCTCCGCCCCAAAGCATTAAAGCCCAGCTGCCTTTGTTCTCTGGGAAAGTGTAGCTGTTCCCTTCACTGGATGTTTTACGGCTACAGGTTGCTCTGTATTGCCCAGATTTCAGTAACAGAGCACCAAAGGTCTCTGTTTTATTGCCCCCGGCTTCGCTTTATTGACTGCCATGTTCTCCTCAGCCCACATGTGCCATTGGGGGGGGGGCCCTTTGGCAAATAACATCTCAATTACAAGCCCTGATGCTCTCAGCAAAAGCCACTGAGGGTCTGCAATTTATTAGAACCACATGCAGATGTTAAAGGGGAGGGAAGGAGGAACTCTCAAGCCAGGGTTGGAATGGGATTTCTTTCCAAAACTCAAAAATTTCATGGGGGGGGGGAGTTTTAATTTCAAAAGTCTTCACGACAGGAAAATCCAAGATTCAGCCTTTATTTGCATGCAGCCAGTAACGGTCAAGTTGAAAGTTCAGATGTAGGCAAGAATCCACTTCAACTCTTAAAAAAAATAAAATCTCATTTTATTTTATAGGGATTGGATCTTGATTCCCTATTGTGTACTACACAATGAGCCAACTCTGTTTTGGCAGGGAAATGGCAGAGCAGTGCAAGTGAAACTGGCAGTGTCTCTAGAATGCTGTAAGAGCCCATTCAGTCAATATTAAAAACTTATTTAACTTAGAGAAGGGATGTTGGAACTCGGACAGAAAACAGCAATCTTTCCCCCCTTCCTCCCCCCCTTCCCTTATCCATTAAATTTATTGTTTATTATATATTATATATTAAATTTGTATATCGTTCTTCATCCAAAGATCCCAAGGTGGAATACAAAATACATAATTGAAACAAAAACAAACCAATGACGTCTTTGAAAAACTATGGGATGTTTGACTTCAAATCTGGATGGCAACCAGAAACGGGGGGGGGGGGGGAGAGGGAGAGATTAGTTTAACATCTGAAGAGTGGCAGGTCTTATATCGCAAAACTACAGTGTCAATATTGGGTATGAGCCCAGAATTATGGTTAAAAAAGACTTGGGAGTCTTTTTTGGCCCAGCAAAGTGCCCACTGATATTACAAACTGTCTTACAGTATGGTGAATACTGAAAACCCCATCCATCAAGTGAGAATGTTGACAAGATGAAAAAGATTCAGAGGAGATAAATAAGATGAGATATGCGCCAACAGTGGCAACACTGTGATGCAACTGCAGAGAAGGATATATATATATGGCATTCTTGCTCCACTTGGAAATTTAAGCCTCCTTCCTGCCCCCTACCAGGAGAGTTCCAAGTCAGCCCTGGCTGTCTGGCAACCCTGATCTCCTCCCCAATTAATTGTGGGCGCTTAGCTAATTTATTTAACTAATTTTAGCTGAATATAATATAAAATGACTTGACTGAACACCGAAACTCTAGTAGTTTCGCATGTCCTAAGAATCAGATTGTCTGCACTGAGATTCATAATAAGTAAATAAATACACATGAACAAAATATGAAAGGCATCAAAGTTTGCTGAGCATTAAACCTCCCACTCACTTCTAATTAAAGAAAACCATTCCCCACCCCCACCTTACAAAACAAGGACACTAATTTCACACTGAAGCCAGTGTTCTCTACTTATTCAAGAAATGTTAAGTGCTAAGGAGGTAATGCAGTTTTGGTTATCAGCCTCCCTATTTATTCCCCACTCCTTGTAGGCAGACAATGAGCCGTCTAAGTAAGGGCTGATGGGGGGGGGAGGTGTCTGAAAAATTGGGACTGCAATTTTCAGATCTCTCAGCACAGCTTGCAATATTATATGTGCAATTACTTATATATCTTGCATTAAATTGTCAGCTCCTTATAAACGGGGTGCCACTACATACAATTTCTCCTTCCATCGAGAGTCTATGGTTCCATCTAAGTATGGTAATAAAAACAATCTTTCTGATGCTGCCAGACCTCTTGAGATAAAAAGATATACAACTGTGAGATCTCCTTTCTCCTGCCCCCCTCCCCTCGGGGTAACACACCGGGTTTGGAAAAATCTCAGGAAAATATGTTATGTCAAAGCACACAGATCTATGGAAGCAAGATTGCTAAGTTTGATCAAACCAACAGTAGGCGCGTTACAAATCCTCATAGCCAACTGTCCCTATTTAACCAGGGATAGCACCTGTTTTCTGGCCCTGTCCTCTGTGTGGGCCTATTATTCATACCTATTTTGGGCACCTTATTAAAATGTTGGTAGTGTGACCAGGATTTGGCTCCCTCCTCTGCACACTAGGGAAGAGCTATAGCACAGAGGAAGAGCGCATGCTTTGACTGCAGAATGTTCCAGGCTCAGCCCAGGCAAATTCGCAAAGCAATAGTGGCCAATTCAGAAGTTCGGGGTTCCCTTCGTGATAATCACAGCCACGCCACTTCTGACATTATACAACCTTCTAAGATTATGCAGTAATGTTTCTCCTGTGTTTTTCTGAACCGGAAGTTAAATCTCTATTGTTATTAAATTTTCTGTTTTACAACTGAAAATACTCATTTGACATCCTTCAGATATCAATGAGTTCCCTTCTCTTTCCATGGTTCATTTTACATATCATAAATCCTTGCATATATATTTTTTTAAAAAACTATACCATTCAGTATTCCATTATTGCATCCATCCAAACTTATTTACACTGTTTAATTTTATCTTAATGCTGCTAGCGTTTTCAGCAGTACACAATTATTTCCCGTATACAGTGCTACCTCTGGTTGCAAACGGGATCCGTTCCAGAAGCCCGTTCACAACATGAAAAGACCCGCATGCGCGAGTCGTGATTTGCCGCTTCTGCGCATGCACGTTACGTCATTTTGCGCTTCTGTGCATGCACGAGCAGCGAAACCCGGCAGTAACCCTTTCCAGTACTTCCAGGTCACCGTGGGACGTAACCTGAAAGAACATAACATGAAGCGGACATAACGTGAGGTATGACTGTATTCAATAAATGACTGTATCCCAATCTTCTTTAAATGAATGTTCTTCTTGTTCTATTGTTCTTTATGTAAAGTCTGCAAGTTGTGCATATTCCTAGGCTGAATGTGGTTAGTTAGCTGTCCAGCTGCGGACATTTGATGGCCAACAGGAAGACCCCTCCTCTTTTATATTGGGCCAGACTGTGAAGGCAGAGGGGTGCGGGTGGCGCTGTGGGTTAAACCACAGTGCCTAGGACTTGCCGATCAGAAGGTCGGCGGTTCGAATCCCCACGACGGGGAGAGCTCCCGTTGCTCAGTCCCTGCTCCTGCCAACCTAGCAGTTCGAAAGCACATCAAAGTGCAAGTAGATAAATAGGTACCACTCCAGCGGGAAGGTAAACGGCGTTTCCGTGCGCGGCTCTGATTCGCCAGAAGCGGCTTAGTCATGCTGGCCACACGACCAGGAAGCTGTACACCGACTCCCTCGGCCAATAAAGTGAGATGAGTGCCGCAACCCCAGAGTCGGTCATGACTGGACCTAATGGTCAGGGGTCCCTTTACCTTTACTAGACTGTGAAGGCTATGATCTGCTGCCATTTTCAGAGGTATTGTGCCTCTGAATACCAGCTGCTGGGAATTGCTGGTTGCAAAGTGCTGTTGCGTTCATGTCTGTCTTGGAGACTTTCCACAGGAATCTGACTAACAACTTTGAGAACAGGATGCTGGACTAGATGGGCCCTTGGCCTGATGCTCTGGTGGTCATATGCTCTTATGATGCAAACCGAGATATCTTAATTCAAGGTGAGATCGTTTTCTTGAAGTTTCCCCCACCCCTTAGATTCTTTTATTTGAGCCTAACAACAGTGAAGCAAACAGATGTTTCAGCTGTGCAAAAGTTCTTCTAAAAATAACCTGTCATCCCAACACATTATACCTGTTGGAAAAGTTTGTAAAAAAAAAAAAGTGAACACGCACACATTCAGACCCATTACTTCCATGCTTACACGGAATGATCTCGCACGTATAACCCTTGCGTAACCAAGCAAAGACACACAGTCTTCCTCCATTTCTGTTATTTATATTTCAGCTGCTTCTCTCTCTCTTTTTGGCCAAGTGAAAAGTATAAACGCACTAATACAAAGGCCACAGCACATCACAGAACTAGGCTTATGTCAGCCCCACTGATTTCAGTGTATTTGTATAGTTGTGTGTGAGATTGTGGCCATAAAGTTTGTGGATTCTTCTGCAAGCAATGTATCAAGGAACTGTTCTGGCCGAATACAAAATACAGTTTCCAATTGCAGCATCAACATCATACAAAAGCCACCCCCCCTCTCCTAAGGTGCATCAGAATATGTGGAGATCTGGGTACACACTACTAGAAGATGACATGAAAGCCTTCACTTCGTACAGTAGCTGTCAATCCTACCATATACCAAAACCTTCTTTGATCTTCCAGGTCCCCTGTGGAACAGATGACTGTCAGGAGTTTCCATTCCATATATCCACAGAGACAAACCAGTAACAAGCTACAAATGTGAGAATTGTTGGACTGCCATCATCCACAACATCCCTTTGAAAAAAACTGCATAGGAACAGAGGAAGCTCCTTTAAACCAACTTAGACCATTGGTCCAAGAAGCCCAAAACTGTCTACACTGACTTGGCAGGGTTTCAGACAAGGCGTCTTCCCTACCCTACCTGAAGATGCCAAGGACTGAACCTAGGTCCTTCTGCTTGGAGTGCAGATGCTCTACCACTGAGCTATAGTCCTTCCTTCTGGTTCTTTCCATCCCTTCTTCATCTTTTTTGGGACAGCGGTTTGCAAACTCTACTCCAGGAACACCATTGTTCTTTGGAGATTCATCAGTGATCTCAAACAAGTTGACTTCCACAAAACAGTCAGAACTCACCAGATCCTATAAAGCTCTATCACCCAAGTAAGCTCCAGGTTTGTTACCAGCCATTTGTTTCAAGGCTTCTTTCCATGATGGCTAGGTTGCCTCAAGGATTCTGCCTCTGAATGCCAGTTGCCAGAGCTCACAAGTGGGAGAGGGTCGTTCTGCTCATGCCTGGTTTGTGGGCTTCCCATGGACATTTGATTGGCTACTATGAGAACGGTACGGTGAATTAGATAGGCCTTTGGTCTGCTCAAGGAGGGCTCTTCTTAACCTGCTCATGTAGGTCAATCTCTCGGATGGGATCAAAATTTGCAGCTCTCCCTAGATTACAGGCACTGGGAAGAGTTGTGAGGAAAGCTGCCCTATGAATCAATCTCTGCCTCTGTGAGGTAATTATCTTTGGAATTAATACACAGCTGGTAGTAGAGACATCACCTTGCCAACAAAGGTCCGTATAGTAAAAGCTATGGTTTTCCCAGTAGTGATGTATGGAAGTGAGAGCTGGACCATAAAGAAGGCTGATCACCAAAGAATTGATATTTTTGAATTCTGGTGCTGGAGGAGACTCTTGAGAGTCCCATGGACTGCAAGAAGATCAAACCTATCCATTCTGAAGGAAATCAGCCCTGAGTGCTCACTGGAAGGACAGATCGTGAAGCTGAGGCTCCAATACTTTGGCCACCTCATGAGAAGAGAAGACTCCTGGAAAAGACCCTGATGTTGGGAAAGATGGAGGGCACAAGGAGAAGGGGATGACAGAGGACGAGATGGTTGGACAGTGTTCTCGAAGCTACCAGCATGAGTCTGACCAAACTGCGGGAGGCAGTGGAAGACAGGAGTGCCTGGCATGCTCTGGTCCATGGGGTCATGAAGAGTCGGACACGACTAAACGACTAAACAACAAGCTGATGCCCAAGCACAGTTTCTTGACCCTCATCCAGTCCACTGCTGCATTCAGACTCCAACTGAGAGCTTTCACAGCTTCTCATCTCCATGCTGAAGCCATGCTGATGTGAACAGATCAGTAAAGAGTTGTGAAATGGACCATTCTCACCTATTTGTTCTAGTCCTGCCCTCTGGAGCAGAGGCCTGCTCTACCTTCTGCAAGACAGCTTCTCAGCTATTTGAGGAATGCTCATGTCTCCCCTTAATCTTTTCTCCCCGGGGCTAAATAAAACCAGCTCTGTCAACGGTTCCTCATAGGACCTGCTTTCCAAAAACCCTTCACCATCCTGGTCACTGTCCTTGATGGTGTCATTGCACTACCTCATTCTGCCAGGTGAATGTACAACAAGTCGAAGTGTGTGCCCATGAACATTACCCAGAATCCTCTGTGACAGACCAGAGTTGTCCTATGGCAGATGCGCAGGGTCAATATGGAAGGTTTCCTTGGAGTTTGGAAATGAGTGGTGACAGGAAATGTTGCTTCTCTCCCGTGTCTTCCCTTTGCTAGTGCCATTTTCCTCCTCACCCAGTCTCTCAAATTTCCCCCTGCCCCCTTGGTCTCCCTGCCTTCTGTTCAGTTGCTCAGATGTCAACCTGAGGCTTGGAAAGCACGTAAGAGCTGAACAAGGAAGTGAGAAAGAGCGTTGCTCCTCCAACTTCCTCCCTCAGCTCTGCGACAAAGGGAGCAGTGAGCATGGGTTTGTGTGCTGAATGGCTTGATGAGATGTTCTCAATGATATTCTGTTGGTAACCCTGAAACGAATAAACGCATGTTTCAGAAAGAGGGAGAACAACGTGTTACGGTAAATAGCGGCCAGAGCTATTTTGGGTAGCAAAAGAGTCCCATCTCTTTCCAGCCTAATATTGTCTTAGTGCCCCCACTGGCTGTGGTGTAGACTATGAGAGCTGTGCTCCCACCTTGTCCTCTTTCTCCTCCCACCACAGCTATTTTGTTCAGCTTGCTCCATTTTGGCAGGTACATAATGTGACGACAAGCAGGAATACAGAACTGTACAATAGATGTGCATCTGCATTGCACTTGGCGCTGAGTGTATTATTGACATCACATCTCCAGGCATTTGGGGAATGTGTGAGGACAAAGGCATTGTGTGGCACGTTACATTCTCATGGGAGCATCTCTCTTGAAGTCAGCATTTGTGATTTGTGCAAAGAACTAGCTCCTGTGTTTATTTTGTTTTATTTCACTCCTTTAAGCTGAAGGTGTGAAATGCCTTTGTCTCAGAACTATCTACTATCCTTAAAGAAAACCCTCAGAATGTTTGCTTCCCTAAAAACTGGCTGCCATTGACTGAGGTCCCATCTTCAACATCTGACTCCATGGCTGCTTGGGTGCAGTGCTCAGGCCACTCACAGAAGAATTGCTGTGTCTCCTCTTAAGGTCTTGCAAAATGATCCAGCAAAACTTCAGATTTCAGCTGTCTTAAAACTGCAGCCAGTCTTTCTAGTGGGCAAAGGAGTCAAGTTGTGTGTTTTTTTTATGTTCGGCATTTTATCTAAACTATAAGCAACACGGCTGAGGAATCTATACCAAAGGCAAAACAGAACAGAACAAAGGCAACATCTTTTTTTTTTCTTTTTTCAAGGCTGGAGAGAAAGAGAGAATGTGTTTTGCAGCATCCTTAAAATAGAAAAGTCCTGGTAAACATTCAGTTTATCACACAAAGATCAAATCTTCTCTCCTGAAAGCTTGTTTTATGCCCAGGTGTTAGTTTCTCTATATTCATCATTTAACAAAATATAACAGCTAAAGACTGTGCTATGTTGCTTCCTTTAAAATAGGAGTAGAGAACCAATGTGGTATGATGATTAGAGTGTTGGATTAGCACCTGTAAGAACAGGGTTTGAATCCCCACTGGGTGACCTTGGGCCAGTTACCATCTCTTAGCTTAACCTACCTCACAGTAGCAGTGTAGCATGGGTTGCCAGTGCCCGGGGCAAGTGTAGCGGCCCCCTGTTGATAAAGATTGTGGAAAGAATAAATGTCAGTGGGTGTGGGGGGCGGGTGTCAGGGACTGGGCAGAGGAGGAACGGTGGAGACCACCTCCCCAGCCTGACCCTTCCAGAGAAGAAGGAAACAGTTCAGAATTACAACAGGGGTTTGAGGGAGGTCACAGCTCAGAGGAAGATGAGGGGGAAAGCTGGGAAATTATGGGACAGGAGGAAGAAGAAGCACCACCAGGGGAGAGACAGCTGACAGACACAGGGTCTTTAGAAAGCATTCTAGGACCCCCCCAAAAAAAAAAACCATGGTGGGCCTTGAAAGTAGGAGAGAAAAAAGCTCAAAGGCAAAAGGCCCCTTCCAGCACCCGTAGCACTGACTCATGAGGAAGTAGGAGAGACGGAGGGGGTGGGGTTTCCCTCAGAGCAACACCATTATTCAGAGAAGCCACATTCCCAAGCCTTTCTCTGTGAATATTGAATAAATGCAGATGATAAGGACTTTTCCTTGTCTTGTCTGTTCCTGGCAACCTGCCGTGGGGTTGGTTCCTCCGCCGCCCGACAGCAGGGTAATAAGCTATTGCCCTTCTTATTTTTAAAAAGCAGCTTTCCATATTGCGGAAAAATGAAATTTGCCCACGGAAACATCTTAACTGAGACTTAACTGATTCAGATAGCTGACCAGTTAAGGCTTCTTCCACTGGGGACAGAAAAGCAGAGGGAACACACCTCAAGAATTTTCTCAAGTACATTTCATGCTGGTCACCTCTACCCATTTTACATCTAAGAGCATTTTTTTCCACATACCATTTTAAAGGTGACACTGGCTGCCCTCATCAAAGCTACCCCATCTCATTTGTATATCAAATGAGCAGATACATATTTATATCTGAATTAAACATTTTAAAAAACAAATCCAATATGTTTCAAAGTGCATATTGCAGCTGTGATTATGGACAAGGAAAAACAGGTATTGGGAAGTCGCTTAAAAAGACTTACTGTGCAATCCTAGCCATATCTATGCAGAAGTAAGTCCCACTGAATTGGGGGGGGGCTTACTCCCAAGTACATGGAGTTAGGGCTGTGCAAAGATGTGTGTGTGTGTGTGTGTGTGTGTGTGTGTGTGTGTATAAATATATATGGATGTGGGTGGCGCTGTGGATTAAACCACAGAGTCTAGGACTTGCCGATCAGAAGGTTGGCGATTCGAATCCCCATGACGGGGTGAGCGCCCGTTGCTCAGTCCCTGCTCCTGCCAACCTAGCAGTTCGAAAGCACATCAAAGTGCAAGTAGATAAATAGGGACCGCTCCGGCAGGAAGGTAAACGGCATTTCTGTGCGCTGCTCTGGTTCTCCAGAAGCGGCTAAGTCATGCTGGCCACATGACCCGGAATCTGTACACCGGCTCCCTCAGCCAATAAAGCGAGATGAGTGCCGCAACCCCAGAGTCAGCCATGACTGGACCTAATGGTCAGGAGTCACTTTACCTTCTGTGTGTGTGTGTGTGTGTGTGTGTGTGTGTATTTCATAGTCACAATTTTTTATTTATGACTATTTTTATTTATTTATTTTTATTTTGGGATTTTTACATATATTATATTATCTCCTTCCAATTTTTAAATTTCCCATACAATTTTTCCTTCCCCTCCCTTCCCACCCCCACCCTGTATCCATTGGAAGGGTTCAAACAATTATCCTCAGCCACAGGCACAGCATCTTTAGTTTCCACCGAATGTCTTTTGTTCCAGTAGTTTCTATCCATTGAAGATAGGAGTTCCATCTGTTCCTTATCGTGGTGGACTTGACCTTCCTCGTTGTTTCCTGTGACATTACTGCGACAATGTCCAGCAGAATAAGTTCAAACAAATAACTATTCCATGCCTCTACTGTCCATTTTTCTCTATCTTTGCAACCTAAAGCTATCATTGCCTTTCCCGCTAATATCATAGCTTTGAAAGTAAACTGGTCCCC